CTCATGTTCTCTACCCACTCGCCCTGGTAGACGCAGCCGTTGTCGCAGACCTTCGCCTGGCGCATCTCCTTGGCGCCCTTCTTGGCCAACTCGCGGCGCTTGTTTGCGAACAGCTCGTCCCTGTCGACCGTGCTCAACTCTTCAAGCCAGCCCTCAAGGTAGTCCGTCACTGCTTTAGTGATTTTCTCCACACGGCTGCCGGTGGCAGCGTTCCTCTGCTGAATCTTCTCGTACTGGGAACTCTCACGTCCACCGCTGTCGCCAGTCAGGGGCTTGACTTCCTCAGGAATTGAGCCAGAGGCCTTCAATGTTTTGCCCTCTCTTCGGATTTGCGTCAAGACCGATTCGTTGAAGACGTACTCCAGCGGTTTGAGCATGCGGTCCGAGTCAAAGAGCTGTTCAAGCAAGGACAAATTCAAAGGCTCGTTGCTGGTGCACGCGCTGCAGTAAGCGTGCAGAGGAACCCCTTGCAGCTCCGCGTTAGTTGGCTGACGAGTGGCTTTCACCATGTGGTTGTACACGAAGTCCACGAACTTCTTGACTTCCTCGTCGTCAAGATCTTCGCTGTGGCGGAAGATACCCAGGAAGCGGCCCAGGAGGTTCTTTCTGTTCAGAGCACCGTCCTCGTGCAGGTCGAGGAACGACGAGCTGTGGGCAATGAGGCGTGCCCCGAGACCCGTGACCGTCTCGCTGACGTTCAGGCTCTGGTGCATGACATGATGGTACACTTTCGAAAGGTTGCCGAGCAGGGTGATCACAACGAAGTAGACGATCGCTGTTGGGATCTGGGACCAGAACCGCCACCGTGCCACTTGTCACGCTGAGGCGTGGCAGACTGCCGCGAGCGGCCCGGTAGGGCTTCCGCACGCCTTCTGGAAGGGGCCCCGCCCTCTCAGCGCCATCGGCCGAAGCTCCCGGGGCTCCCCTGGGCGGCGCTCCCCGGGGCTCCCTGGGCGAGGCTCCCTGGGCGGGGCTCCCTGGGCGGGGCTCCCTGGGCGAGGCCCCGCTCCCGAGGCTCCCTGGGCGGCCCTGGCGCCTCGCCGAGGCGTCGGGGCTCCGCGGCGGCTTCTAGGCTCGAGGCTTCGCGGCTTCGAGGCTTCGCGGCTTCGAGGCGTCGAGGCTCGACGCTTCGAGGATCGCGGCTTCGAGGCGTCGAGGCTCTGCACGACGCCAGCCCAGGAAGGCCGCAAGGGCCGCCGAGATGGCCCAGCACTGCTCCGGAAGCCAACTGCTGGCCCCCGAGAAGAGACCGAGCGGCGCCACAGAGGCGCCGAAAGACGTCCAACAAAACCAGGCCGAAGGCCAAGAGGCCGTGCAGAGAGGCCCAAACCAGACAAAGACAGCTGGAAGTCCTGCTGTGTTTGAGTGCGTTGCGTTTACCGGCGATCTCGGCTCATTGTGGAGAGGGCCTTCGAGGAGACGCAAAGATGCCAAAATGGCGCAACGAGGAGCCTGAGAAGCCTCCAGAACCCCCAGGACAGCCCAGAGAGGGCCCCAAGACGGCCCCAGAGGGGCCCGGGACCGCCTAAGAGAGCCTCAGCATGTCCCGAGGGGGCCCCACGAGAGCCCCAAGACAGCCCCCGAAGAGACCCCCAGACGGCCGAGGGGGGCAGAAGACGGCCCAAGACGGCCCGCCCAGGCGGCACGCCAAGAGGGCCCAAGAGGGCCCCAGGACAGCCCAAGAGAACCCGAAGCGGGCCCAAAGACGGCCCTACAGGAGCCCCAGACAGCCCCAAGATGGCCCAGGTGAGCCTCACGAGAGCCCCATCAAGGGGTAGAGACGAGAGACGTCACCATGTCACTGGGTTGCAGCCTCGTGGGCGTCGCCGCACAGAGTGCTGCGCTAACAAGGTGGCGGAACCTGCCGCAGGCAGCTGGATCAGAAATATCGAGATCCACTCCCAAATGCTGACGAGGTCTGTGAAGGCGAAATTCCCGCGCTGTTGGAATGTTACCCGCAACCCGTGGTAGCGGCGGTTGACCTGAGTGCCATCATCGCTCACCAGGCTGGTGCGATCCAGCGTGGTCCACGATCGGTCGGCCTTGATAGACATGCAGGCGAGGTATCCCTCGAACTCTGGAAACTCGTGCACGGGCGGCAGCGTAGGATCCAACGCGCACCTGCCGTCGTTCTTGTACTCCAGATCCACGAAGAACTTCGTGCCCGTGAGGCGCGCCGTGGGTCCGTTGTCACGCCCGTGCTCGCGGTCCGCGATGATGTCCTCCTCGACACGCACGTAGTGGTCGTCAAGAGACAACTTCGACACAGTGTCCACAAACTCATCTACGATGGCAGACTGCATAATCTCGCCGACTGTCATCGACACCACCTCGCCTGGCTCGAAGATCCGAACGACAGATCCATCCTTGTCGAGGAAAACGGTCCGTATTCTCCTCACGGGATCATCTGTGACCTCTGTTGATACTGACGAATGCTCTGGTGAAATGAAAGGGGTCATGATCCATTTTATGAGACTGACGACGTTCACTGTCTTTTCCGGCACAGTCAGTCGATGGCGAAAAGAAATCTCTGAGTCCTCCACGCCGGGCACGAAGTAGTGGCCCATCCCCGTGGAGCCATCCGTAGGACCAAAAATCTCATTTGTGTAGAACGTCGGGACAAAGACCGCTGCCGGCCCCTCGAGAATACTGGCCTCGCTGGGGTGCATACATGCGGTGTCCCGGCTGGCCCTCTTGCACAATGTGGCGCACGTGATTTGATTGTACAGGATACTGGAGCTCTCGTACATGTAATGGCCAGGATCGGTGCAAAACTTCGCGCTCTGGTCTTCAGCCACTGATGCCTCAATGCCCGCCAGACTCCTTTGCAGCCTCCACGGCAGCACGGTGACCTCTCCGTTGGTGGACTGCGAGACGTTGTACCTCTTCATGCTGAAGAACATGAGGCCATACAATGTACCGCAGGCTGCCAGCAGCGACCAGTACAATATAGCCAAGCCAGTGTTGGAGATGATCACGGACTTCGGGAAAAAGACTTGCGGCCGCGGCCTCAGTGGCACGCCCCCGACCCATGGCCGCCTCCGGACCCCCTAGATGCAAAATTGTGGACTAGAAGCATGAACAAACGGCATAAGCATTAAGTAAGCCTTTGGCGCTCCGCGCGGATCTCTTGGATCTGCGCTGGACCCCCCTCCCTGGCGCGCGGGGCGCGCCAGGAGGCGGCGCAGGAGGCGCCGCGGGGGGGGGCCCAGCGCGGATCCAAGAAATCCGCGCGGAGCGGCAACAATTTATGCTTATGCCGCTTCTTCTCCTTCGAATGACTGAGTATCGTTTAACCGATCCCCATCCCCAGCGGCGTGGCCTGGGCCCCACTGGCCGACTTACTCCCGGATCGAGGTACAAGATCGAGGTCGGTTCGGGGAGGGTATACCCTAAATCTCTTCGTGCTTGTGGGCTGTTCCCTAGATAGGGATATGGGTCGTTCCCTTCGGGTTGCGAGGGGTGTACCCCCAAACTGGGGTGGCCATTTGGTGGGGGTCTCGAAGGGGATGGGGATGGGGGTGGGGATTGGTGAAACGATACCGGTTGACGCCGCCCAGCTCTCACGTCCGCCGCCCTCCGCGGAGGAACGCCGCCCGCCCGCCTCCGCCGGTGGGCCGCCACCCAGAGGCCTCTCCGCCGGCCTCTCCGCCGCCGAGGCGGTGGGGCGGCGGCCAGAGGGCGAGGCCCTGCCCTGGAGCGGCCCTGGGTCGGTCTGTGTGGCCTGCTCTCCCTGCGGCGGCCACGCACGGGGGCCGCCCGTGCCAGCCTGTCGGCTCTTGCGGATCGACGCTCGCCGACGCTAGATCGACGCCGGATCGACGCTGCTCATCGACGCTGCTGGTCGGCGCTGAGTCGGCGCTGAGTCGGCGCTATCTCATCAACTCCCAGACGCTGGTCGACGCTGGTCGGCGCTAAAGACAGAATGGCGAGGGCACACAAGGCTCCCATGATTTGCTACCGAAGATCTCCCGATCCTCAGCCAGCCAGCCCGATCCGTCCCGAAGGCGTGGAGCAGCCCTCGCCGAGCGAGGGTGCTGCGATCGACCGCCCCCGGCCACCCACATGGAACTGCAGATCCTCGGCCAGATCGGCGTCGGCAAGGCCCTGGTCAATGCAGGGGGCACGTTGGGGGGAGACGAAAAGATCTCTGAGAGAGGAGCCCGGAGAAGCGAGGAGGGAGGAGGGAGGAACGAGAGACGAGGGCGGACGAGGAGCGAGGGGAGAGGGACAAGAGAGGGAGGAGGGAGAAGGGAGGCAGAGTCTATTCCTGTCACGCCTATCCTTCCTCCTATATTATCATAAGCCGGGGAGGCGGGAAAAACTGCCCCCCCCCAATAAAAGAAAAACTGGACCCCTGCCAGACCCCCCGGGGATCTGGAGCTTCGGGGCCTCCTGGACGCCCCTGAAGAGGGCCCCCGGCCGCGCCGCGCCCTACAGGGCGCCTTGCCGGGCCCTGCCGGCAAGCTCAGCGCGATCAGAGAAGTGGTCGGAGAGGCGCAGGAGAGCCCTACGGCAGCGCACGATGGCCTCAAGACGGCCCACGAGGCCCCCAGGACGGCCCACGAGGCCCCAAAGACGCCCCGAGAGGCCTTCGCGACAAGCCCCAAGAGGCAACAATCGTCGCATCCTCCCAAGGAAAATACACGCATGAGCATTTTCGCTTGTTGTGCCCCAGCAGCGTCCAAGACGGCCCAAGAAGCCTGCGAGATCGCCCCCAGGCGGCCCAAGAGGCCCCCAAGAGGGCTTCGAGCCTGGCCGAGAGAACCCCAAGACAGCCCCAAGACGGCCCAAAAGAAGCTCACGAGGCCCCTGAAGGCTCCCAAGAGACACCCACGAGGGCCATGGGACGTCCCCAGGAGGGCCCAAGTTTCCCAAGAAAGCCCCACGGCAGCGCACGATGGCCTCGAGACGGCCCAAGAGGCCCCCAAGACCGCCCAAGTGGCCCCAAAGACGCCCCAAGAGGCCTTCAGGAGAGACCCCAAGAGGCAACAATCGTCCCGCTCGCCACAGAGAGAGCACATGTGATAAACCGCGCCCGCAGCGACCGACAGTCTAAAAAGGGGGCCCCAGCTTGAAGCTACCCCCCTCCCCCTCCCTTGCTAAAGAGGGGGAGGGCTTCGGAAGCCCGCCCCCTTTTCGTTGCTGGAAAGGGGGGGGGTCGAAGCTCCCCCCCCTCCCTCCCTCTTTTTTCGGAGCCGGGGGTCAGCCCGGGCTCCCCTTTGAAAGGGGGGGGGGCGTCGGAAGCTACCCCCCCCTCCCCCTTTTCGTCGCCGGAAGGGGGGGGAGTTCGAAGCTACCCCTCCCCCATCCCTCTTTTTCGGAGGCGGGGGTCAGGCAGGTCTCCCCTTTGAAAGGGGGTGGCTTCGGAAGCTGCGCCCTCCCCTCCCCCCTTCGTTTCCAAAGGGGGGGGGCTTGAAGCCCCCACCTTACCCCCTTCGGGGGCAAGGGGGCGGACGGAGGGGGGGAGGGGGATTGCATTGCAATGGATCGCATTTGATTGTATTGGAATCGTTTGGATTGCAATGGATTGGCTTGCGATCGGTTGGATTGCAATCGATTCGATGGCAATCGATTGGAACGCAGGGAAGGGACAGGAGGGAGGGGAGGGATGGAGGGGAGGGAGGGGAGGGAGGGGATGGAGAGGAGCGAGGGGAGAGAGAGGAGGGAGGGGACGGCGGGGAGGGGGCGGAGGGAGGGGAAGGGGCTTAGCCATTCGCATTCTCCTCCTTTCGAAAAGGAGGGGAGGAGGCAGAGGATGGGGAGAGGGAGGTGGGGTCAGGGTGGGGGTCAGGGTTAGGCTTTAGGGCGCACGTTGAGGGTTAGGTTGAGGGTTCGGGTTCGGGTTAGGGTAGGGTTAGTTGTATGGTTTTGAGATTTAGGGCTTAGGGATTGGGCTTTGGTTAGGGTCTAAGGTTACGCGTCAGGGTTGGGTTAAAGGTTGGGACAGGGTCACGGCTAGGGTTAGGGTTCGGGTTTTGGGTTCGGGTTTAGGGTTTAGGGTTAGGGTATAGGGTTGAGAGTTTCGGTTTAGGAGTTAGGGCAATGGTTAGGGTCAGGGGTTAGGGCTTGGGCTAGGGGGTTAGGGTTAGGGCTTAGGGTCAGAAGTTAGGACTCGGTTTTTGGTTTAGGGGGTTAGGGCTCGGGTGTTAGGGTTAGGGTTAGGGTCAAGGTTCGGGGTTAGGGTAGTGGGGTAGGGTCAGGGTTTAGGGCTAGGGATTCGCGGGTGGGCGGGCGGGCGGGCACGGGCGGCGGGCGGCGGGCGGGCGCGCGGGCGGGCGGGCGGGCGGGCGCACTGGCGGGCGGGCGGGCGGGCGCGCGCGCGGGCGGGCGGGCGGTTAGAATCAGGGGTTTGGGTTAGGGTTTTGAGGTTGAGGGTTAGATGTTAGGGCAAGGGTCTTAGGGTAGAAGGGTTGATTTGTTTGCGGGGGAGGGATGCGGAGGGAGGGCACGGAGGCGGGGAGATGAGGGAGGCGAAGAAGGGGAGGGGGTGGAAAGAGGGGAGGGACGGGAGGGAGTGGAGGGAAGGGAGGGAAGGGAGGGAGGGAGGTGCAGGGGAGGGAGGGGAGGAAACGGAGGCGGGGGGACGGCGGGGAGGGTAGCGAGGGGAGCGAGGGGGAGGGCGTCGCAGAGGGAGGGGTGGAGTAGGATCGTATGTGTTGGGGTCCTCCAGGCGTTGCCAAGGGACGAGTCTACCATAACTGTAGGTGCTCGATGCCCCGACCTTGCGCACGGCGCGAGTGTAGCAGAATGGTATGGATTCGCCCCCCCCCACCCGGCGTTGCCACGGGACGAGAAGCACAGCACAGTTGCGTTGCCATCGATCGCAATCCAGTGGCTTTGCAAGCGATTCGACAGGAATCGACTGGATTGCAATCGATTGGATTGCAATCGGCTGGATTGCAAGCGATTCGATCACAATCGACTCGATTGCAGGGGAGGGGCAGGACGGAAGGGAGGGAGGGGAGGACAGGGCGGGGAGGGAGGGGAGGGAACGAAGGGTGGGGAGGGAGGGGGAGGGAGGGAAGGGAGCGGAGGGAGGGGGAGGGGGATTGCAGCGAAATGGATTGCAATCGATTGCGCTGCAATCGATTAAATTGCATCGACTGCATTGTAACCGATTGGATTGCAATCGATTTGGTTAGAATCTCATCTCTCGATCGTCGATCCCCGATTGCCGATACTTGATCGTCGATCGTTGATCGTCGATCGTCCATCCCCGATCGTCTATTGTTGATTTTGGATCGTCGGCGAAAGGGAGGGCGGGGGATCCTGGGGCTGGATGGGAAAAAAAGGGGGGGACGGGGGAAGCCTCCTGCAGGGCGGGTCCAAGGGTGTGCGGTTTGGGGTTAGGGTTGGGGTTAGGGCTTGAGGTTCAGGGTTTAGGGTCCACCAGTCCAGACGTGAAGCCTGCTGGACGTGTCCCACCCACCCATGACCCAAGACATATTGATCTCGAAGCGACGACGACGATATCGATGACGAAGACGGCGATATTGATGTCAAAACGACGACGACGACGACGACGACGACGACGACGACGACAACACAGTTGCGCAAAGTCTCCTGGGAAGCCGCTGTAACGGCGATGCGGCCCGCGCGCGCGACAACGCGATTTGACGAACAACGTATATTTACGCGACTCCATGCGCGTCGCAGGGACGCCGCCCAGCGGCGGTGAGATTGCATGGAGTGGCTGCGCAAGGCGTGCGGGATAGCTCGTTGCCTCGAGGAGACGGATCCCCAATTCGCATCCTTAGCACTGCGACAAGGTGCGCGAAGGCCGATGCAAGGGCGATGCGACGCGCGCGCGTCGCACCAGAACGACTAGCTCCGCGCAGCAGCGCGCGGGATGGTTCTTTGCAAAAGCTTTGGGAACACCATTCCCGGCACTCCGAGGGCAACGATCTGCGTGAAGGGTGTGCCAAAATGGGGGGCGGCGGGGCGCCGTAAGGGCGCAATGGAGCATTTCAGGATTTAAATAATTGTGGGTTCTTCGTTATTGTGGT